TTCCCGCCCCATCACATGGTGTGACCCCTCCCCGCGCAGTCCCTCCAGCCACCACCAGACGCGCTCACCTTCGGGGCGCCCCTCTCCTGCCGGGGAGCACCGGCCGCAGAAGCAGGAATAGGACCCGAGAGACGCGCGCCGGGGCGAGAATTATTTTCACAGAATTCTTCCGCGTGACCCAGTGCGATCCCTCAGGCGGACTAGCGGGCGTGTGCTTCCCTGGTCTCGGCACCCCCTTTTCCCATCATGCTCTAGTCCTGAGCTTAGTGGCTCTTCCCAGCATGCCTCTTTCCTCAGGGATGGTTGTCTTCTTAAAGAGACCGAGACCCAATTGTGAAAAGGTAGAGGAAGGGCCTGTAGGGGAGAGGATTAGGGGGGGTTAGACGACGCAGTAAGTGCGCTGCACCATTCTCTGACGCTCATTTCCAGAAAGGGCCTCCTAGGAGAACATAGTAATAAATAATAGCTAATATTTGTTAAGCCAAGAGCTTGCTGGACATGTGTCATTCCTTAGTCCTCACCACAACCCCAAGAGGTACAAATTTTTATCTGGGAGATGTAAATGCAGAAATTAAGTTGTACAATGTCAAGATTTGGCATGTTTTGCCGAAACCGGTGTGGCTCAGTGGATAGAGCGTCGGCCTGTGGACTGAAAGGTCCCAGGTTCGATTCCGGTCAAGGGCATGTACCTGGGTTGTGGGCACATCCCCAGTTGGGAGTGTGCAGGAGGCAGCTGATCGATGTTTCTCTCTCATCGATGTTTCTAACTCTCTATCTCTCTCCCTTCCTCTCTGTAAAAAATCAATAAAATATATTTTAAAAAAAAAAAGATTTGGCATGTTTTAATTCAACATTGTTTTGGAGATTCATCTATGACTTGTGAGGCGGTCTCGTTCGTTCATTTGGACTGTTGTGTTGTATTCCATTTTAGAAATATGCTGCAATTTAACCTCCTACCATTGATGGACATTTGACGTGTCTCCAATTTTTGACTATTAGGAATAATGTTGCTGTGAATATTCCTGTATTTTGTGGCACATATGCACATATGGTAATTTTATATCTAGCAGCGAAATTGCTTGTTATGTATTTGTATAACTCAACTGGATAATGTCAAACAATTTTTTTAAAAGATCTTTTATTGATTTTTTTAGAGAGAGAGGAAGGAAGTGGGAGATAAACACCCATGTGATGGGCCGCCTCCCACACGCCCCCTAGCGGGATCGTGCCTGCAACCCTTTGGTGCACTGGAAGCCCATCCTAGCTGCACTGTCCAGAGCTCAAACAATTTAAGAAAGTAGTGGTTTCAGTTTGCACTTCACCAGCCATGTATGAGAGTTCCAGTTGCCCCACATCCTGGCCAATAACTACTACTATACCAGTACATCTTCTTAATTTTAATCATTTTGGTGGGGGTATAGTGGTATTTGATTATGGTTTTAATTTGGATTTTCCAGATTACAAATGAGGTTGAGTCCATTTTCATGCTGTTGCTTTTTAAATATATTTTCATTGATTTCAGAGAGAATGGGAGAGGAAGAGAGAGATAGAAACATCAATGATGAAAGAGAATCCTTGATTGGCTGACTCCTACACGCCCCATACTGGGGATCAAGCCAGGCGGATGCCCTTGACTGGAATCGAACTTGGGACCCTTCAGTCCACAGGCCAATGCTCTCTCCACTGAGCCAAACCACCTAGGGACATTTTCATGTTTTTTTTAATATCTGGATATCCTCTTTTATGAAGTGTCTATTTAAGTCTCAGACCTATTTTTGTATTGGATTATCTGCCAATTTCTTACGATATGTATTCTGGATATGAGTCCTTTGTTGAATATACGTATGTATTGCCATTATCTTCTCCCACTCAGTGGACAGCCTTTCCACTTTATTATTTGTGTTTTTTTAAATTTTATTTGTTGATTTTAGAGAGAGAGGGAGAGAGAAAGAAACATCAATTTATTGTTTCACTTATTTATGCATTCATTGTGCCCTGACTGGGCATGGAACCTATAACCTTATCTGAACAATGCTCTAACCAACTGAACTACCTGGCCAGGGCCTATTATTGGTGTCTTTTGTTGTTAAGCCTCACCTGAGGACATTTTTTCCCCATTGATTTTTAGAGAGAATTGAAAGGAGGGAGGGGGAAGGAGGAGAGAGAGATAGAGATAAACATCGATGTGAGAGAGGCACATCAATTGCTTGCCTGCTGCCTGCACGTGCCCCCCGACTGGGGATTGAACCTGCAACCCAGGTACATGCCCTTGACGGGAATCGGTGCTCAGACTGACGCTCCAATCACTGAGCAACACAGGCCATGGCTATTGGTGTCTTTTGATGAACATAAAAGACCTTTAAAGCTCAGTGCTTCTTGTATCTGTTCAAAAATATTTTCCTACCAAAGGTTCTTACTAATTTCTGGAACTGTTATTACTTTGTCTTTCTTATTTAGATCTACAACCTAAAGTTGGGTTTTGTGTATGGTGTGAGATAAGTCAAATTTCATTTTTTCCATATGAATGTTAATCTGATTAAGTGCTGTTTTTTAAAAGTCTGTCTTTTCCCTATTGCTTTGTATTGTCACTTTTGCATATATAGTTGTCTATAAAGGTGTGGATTCGTTTCAGGACTGTGTAATCTATTCCTTTTGTCTCTCTTTGCAGAAATATTACACTGTCTTCATTTCTGTGACAGCTTTATAATAAATCTTGTTATCTGATAGAAAAAGTTTTCCTTCCTATTATGTCCTTTAAGATTATCTTGGCTTTTCTTGGTTCTTTGCATATTCATATAAATTTTAGCATCAACTTGCCAAATGCAACAAAACTTTCCTTATAAACTTTAGAAGCAGCTAGGATTTTGTTTAGTATGCACTAAAGCTGTAGACGTGTTTTGGAGAATTAGCATTTGTTATTCATTGTGTTGAATCATGTCCTCCAAAAAGATATGTTGCAGTCCTAATCCTGAGAATATGGCTTTATTTGGGAACTAGAGGCCTGGTGCACAATATCCGTGCACGATGTGGTCCCTAGGCCTGGCCAGCGATCAAAGTGTGAGCGTCTGGCATGGAAGGGCAGGTCCCAGCTGACCTCTGGGCCCTGGGCAGCACCTGTGCCTGGGCCCCCACTCACCGCCCGTTTGCCTGAGTCACAGCGCCAGAGTCCCCATGTGGAGATGTGGTGAACGCAGTCAGATGCCACAGGCTGGGGCACAGCGTGGGCCTGTGGGCTACCCAGTGGCACCACAGGGACGCTGGGTGGGCAGCACACTCTCTCCCGGCCGGCCACGTAGACCGGGTCCTACACAAACCCACAGGGTGCCCAACCGGCCCCTGCGGTCCCAACGTGATATTTCCCTAGTGTCGTATACAGGGTACATTTTATGAATATGATTTGTGGTTGCTGATGTGACCTTGATCATGTGCATGAAGCAGTGTTTGTCACGTTTCTCCTGCGGTCCCAGCAGCTGCAGCCCAGCTCACCCGGAAGAGGCCACTCCAGTGCGGGGTAGGCTCCTCACAGGTGCCCAGCACCTGAGCGCGGGGGGGTGTGGGTGGGGCCAGGGGCGGGGGGTTCCCCAGTGAGCAAGCCCTCACATCCCAGGGGAGGGTAGCAGGAGGAGTGAGAGCAAGCTCAGCAGACATCCCGCATTCTCACTGCACCTCCATCCTATCACCCCCACCCCCAGGTAGCCAGCAAGAGGTTGCAACGCATTGCTGACACCCGCCATGTTCCACGCCTGCTTCCTGGTGGTCAGCACACATCATAGCGAGTGGTTGAACTCTCCTCCCATCTCCTGGTCGAACAACCGCCCAAGGGGACAATTTGCATATTAGGCTTTTATTATATAGGATAGGGTTGTTGCAGGTGTAATTAGTTAAGATGAGGTCATATGGGTGTAAGGTTGGCCCTTAATGCAATATGACATGTCCTTATAAAAAGAGGAGATATAGAGACAGACATATGGTGGGAGAACACCAGGTGACAATCGAGGTACAAATTGAAGTGCTGCAGCTGCAAGCCAAGGAATTCCAAGGATTGGTGATAAACACCAGAAGCTAAAAGAAGCAAGGAAGGATTCTCCCATACAGATTTCAGAAAGACTAAGGCTCCACTGATACCTTGATTGTGAACTTCTAGCCTCCAGAACTGTGAGACAATAAATTTCTGTTTGTAGCACTTTGTTACAGCAGGCCTAGGAAACTAAGATAGCATTATATAGGGTATACCTCTCCATTTAATGTGTCTGTAATTTCTCTTAATGTTTTATAATTTTTTAAGTGTAGGGATCTCACATCTTTTTTAGGCTTATTTTATATCTTTGATATTTTATGGTATTTTTTTAAAATATATATTTTATTGATTTTTTACAGAGAGGAAAGGAGAGGGATAGTTAGAAACATCGATGAGAGAAACATCGATCAGCTACCTCCTGCACATCCCCTACTGGGGATGTGCCCACAACCAAGGTACATGCCCTTGACCAGAATCGAACCTGGGACCTTTCAGTCCGCAGGCCGACACTCTATCCACTGAGCCAAACCAGCTAAGACTTTTTATGGTATTTTTAAATGGTAAAATTTAATTTTTATTAGTTATTCTCAGTATAAATATAGAATTACAATTATCCTTTGTATATTGGTCTTAAAGCCAGAACTCTTTTAAAAAAATATATTTTTTTATTGATTTCAGAGAGGAAGGGAGGAGAGAGAGATCAACGATGAGAAACATCATTGATGAGAGAGAATCATTGATCAGCTGCCTTCAACATATCCCCTACTGGGGATTGAGCCTGCACCTGGGCACATGCCCTGACTGGGAATCGAACCATGATCTCATGGTTCATAGGTCAACACTCAACCACTGAACCATGCCGGCTGGGCTTGAATGTAGCACTCTTGTTAAGTTCACTTAATACTAATAGTTTAGCCATATGCATAAAAATTCATGCAAGAGTGGGCCTTTCTTCCCCTGGCTGCCGGCACCGGCTTCCCTCCGGCACCCGGGACCCAGGCTGGCTTCCCTCCAGCCCTGGCTTCATCAGGAAGGATGTCCGGAAGGATGTCCAGAAGACATCTGGTCTAATTAGCATATTACCTTTTTATTATTATAGATATCTATATATATAAAAGCATAAGCAACCGTTACGACCAGTCAACCAAACGACTGGTCGCTATGACATGCACTGACCACCAGGGAGCAGATGCTCAATGCAGGAGCATCCCCCTGGTGGTCAGTGTGTTCC